AGCTTGAGAAGCATTCGGATGGGTCGTGTGTGTTTTTTCGTATGTGGTGAAAGAAAGAAGAAAAAGGAATGGCGTTGGTACATTCTCCAGGCGGGGGAAACGCTCTCCCCGAGAGACGCCCCTTCTCTGCGGGCGCGTGGCGGTCCGACTGAGAAAGCGGACCGGCCCTCGAAGTGGCGAGAGAACGCTGCCGCGGCGGCTGCGGCTAGCGGGGGGACGCCTCCGCAGTCGCAGCGATCGGATGGCGGCCGGACAGCTCCTCTGAGAGCCGCGCGGAGGGGAGCACAACCCCCTCGACCTAAGAGCGTGGCTTCCAAAGGGACATCGCGAAGCGACGGGGAACTAGAGGCCTTGGTGACAGCCCTAGTTCCTCGCATCGTGGAGGCCCTGAGGACTGAGCTCCCCGGAACTATTCCCGGGAAATGGCCCTCGAATGGTGCTCCACGAAAGGGCAAGAGTGGGGCGGATGTGGTGGGTAGGGTGCGTAACGCGCCCCCACTCCCTCCTAATCCGTCCAAACCTTCGGCGACTTCCGCCCCCGATGTTGAGGGGCGGAAGAAGCCGAAGAAGAAGAAGAAGAGTGGCAGGGGTGGCCAGCAGTCTTCAATGGAGACGGCCGCCCTTTGCTGCTCTTGCGGGAGAAGTGGGCCCCCCGCTCTGGACAGGACCGCGACCTCGCGGTCATAGGGAGGCCCCAATCCCCTCCTCCCTCCAACGGGTCCGAATCATGGGCCAGGGTGGTTGGGAGGAGGGAAAAGCAAGGGAAAAAAGCAAGGGGATAATCAGGCCCTCCAGCCCGTCCCCCAAAAGCCGCGGCCCCAACAGCGTGCCGCGGCCAAGGGAGATGGGAAAAAGGAGAGGAAAGGCCTTCAAGTCGGGGGGAATGGTAAACCCACCCTCCCCAAAGCCCCTCGTGCTGCCGCCTTGACGGTGAGCTGCTCTTCGGGCAGCTACGCCGAAGTCATGCAACGGGCGAGGGATGAGATCGACTTGGGGGAACTTGGAATCGGGGAGATCCGGACCAGGAGGGCCGCAACGGGCGCCCTGGTCATGGAGATCCCCGGTCCCGAGGGACACGCCAGGGCGGATGCCCTGGCAGAGAAAATGTCAGCCCTCTTCGCCGACAAGGAGGACGTGCGTATCGCACGCCCGGTAAAGAGGGCCGATGTCCGATCCGGGACCTCGACGAGTCGGTCGCCGTGGAGGATGTCGTCTCTGCGGTGGCCGCCGTCGGGGGCTACGGGCTCGATGACATCAAGGCCGGGGAGATCCGCCCTGGAGCGGATCGAATGGAGACACTCTAGTTATGGTGTCCCCTTTCGGTCGCGAGGAAGATTGCGGATGGAGGACGCATACTTGTAGGGTGGTCCTCCGTCCGTGTGGAGCCCCTGTCGACACGCCCCCTCCAATGCTTTAAATGCTTGGTGTGGGGCCATGTCAGGACCTCCTGCAAAAGCAAGGTCTCTGTTATCACTGCGGGTCGGCCGGCCACAGGACCTCCACGTGCGACGCACCAGCAACATGTCCGGTGTGTCGCGACGCTGGTCGGCCCTGTGGCTACAGAATGGAAGGCCCCGCCTGCCAAATGGGCAAGCAGGGCAAAGGGGGAATAAGTGGAAAGAGAAGGCGTAAGGCTTCCAATAATCCTCCCAACCCTCCCCCTGGAAAGGAAAAGGAGCCTCCCCCCCGGAAACCGGAGGGAGGGACCCCACAGCTAGATACCCCGGTCTCTCTAGCGGGTCCTGCTTCTAAGGAGAAGAGGATCCCGCGGAAGACCGGGGCCGGAAAGAGGATCGCTTCGCGGAAGAGGGAGTACCCCAATGAGGATCACTCTTTCGCGAAGAAAGTAGGAGAGGGTCTGGAGGAGAGCGGTAAGCCATAATGGCGACCCGACTTCTCCAGGCGAACCTGAACCGCTCTCGTGGAGCGCAGGACCTGTTCACGCAGGTCCTCTGCGAGAGCGGTTCGGGATTGGGGATTGCAACCGAGCCCCACTCCATCGCCGGGAGTCACCCTAGTATAGTAGGTGACGTTGTGGGGCGACGTGGATGCTTGGTCGCGATCCACTAGAGAGGTAGCGAAGCCTTTGCCCCCTTCTCTGTTATAGAGAGGGGGGAGGGTTATATCGCGGTCGAGTGGGGGGCCCTTGATGTGATCGAGGTATACGCCCCACCCTCGTGAGATCTCGCCCATTTCGAACACCTTCTGGACCGGCTGGGAGACCTCATGACGAGGCGCCCCCAAAAGCCGGTCCTGGTGGCTGGGGACTTCAACGCCAAGTCGGCGTTGTGGGGATCGTCGGCTAGGTGCCGAAGGGGCGAAGTGATGGAGGAATGGGTCGCGTCTCACGGCCTCTGTGTCATCAACAGAGGCCGTAGAAGCACTTTCGTCGGGTCGCAGGAAAGATTGATGATAGATATCACCCTAGCGTCTCCCCAAGCGGCCCGGGGAGCGGTGCACTTGGACACGGTGTATTTGGACACAGCCAATCACAACACCGTGTGATTAGAGACATTTGTAGGGTCCCTTGGAACAGCGACTTGTGATTGGATTGTGTCCAATTGCCCCGTGTCCAACTGATATACACCCAGTGGCCCGACTGATACAGGACTGGAGGGTGGTGACCAGCGGGGAAAACCTTACGGATCATAGATACATTATGGTTCGGCTGGTCGCCACCCCCGAGGAGGTGCTCCAGAGGCGCGGCCAGGGAGCCGCGCCCGACCGCGCAGATGGGCCCTCGCGAAAATCGACCGCGACAAACTGATGGCCGCCTTACTCACGGCCACATGGGCGGAGCCGGGTCCCATACCGGGGACTAGGCCCGCCATAGAGGATAAGGTGACCGGAATCCAGGGCATAATGACGGTCCGTGTACTGGTGGTCGGCGGAGATTGCCGAACTTCGGCGCTCCGCCGGCCAAGTTAGGAGGATTATGGACCGGCGGGGACGAGACGGTGATGACGGGGTGGCCGCCCGGGAGACTTACTGCAAAAAGCGGGATGCCCTCCGGGCGGCCATTGCTGCGGCTAAGGCCCGTGCCTGGGATGACATGCTCTCCACCATCGACAGGGACCCGTGGGGCGCCCATATCACATTGTGATAAGACGCTTGCGTTCTTAGGCGCCCGCCGACAATGTCCCTGGATCCCGGCTTCCTTGATGAGATAGTGGGGGCCTTCTTTCCGTGGGGGAAGTTTGCATTCCCCCCTACGAGGGCTCCCCAGACGGGGAGGACGAGGAGGTCGGGGTCTCGGTGGTGGAGATGGACAGGGTCGTCAGGAAGCTCGGCGCCAAGAAAAGGGCGTCGGTGCCTGACGGCATCCCAGGCACAATATGGGCCTTGGCAATGAGGAATGAGGAGGTGAAGAGCAGAGTGATGCGGCTCTTTACCTCCTGCTTAAGGACCGGAATGTTCCCCAGCCCTTGGAAGAGGGCCAATTTGGTCCTCTTCAGGAAGGGGAGCAAGGCGGAGGACAGCCTTTCCGCATATAGGCCTATATGCCTATGGGACAAGACGGGCAAATTATTCAAAAGGATAATACACACCCGCCTCGTCCAGCACCTATCCCAGATATGGTCTCACGCTCAACGTGGAGCAATACGGCTTCCAGGAGGGACGGTCAAGCTTAGACGCGATCCTACGCGTCCGGTCCCTCTCGGAGACCGTCGTGAGGAGTGGGAGAGTTGTGTTCGCGGTGTCCCTTGACATTGCCAACGCCTTCAACTCCCTTCCCTGGGACCAGGTAGAGGCGGGCTTGGCCCACTTTAGGGTCGCCCCCCACCTGGTCTCAATTATTAGAGACTATTTCCGGGATAGAAGATTGAAGTTCCGCAACAAAGCGGAACATGGTTGTTTGGGTGAGTACCTGCATAGGATTGATAGGGAGCCTAACTCCCGCTGCCACCACTGTGGTGCTAAGATGGACTCGGCGCAGCACTCTCGAGGAGTGTCCCTCGTGGGTGGCAGAGCGACGAGTCCTAGTCGGAGTGGTGGGAGCGGAACTTTCTCCGTCGGCTCTTGTCAGGGCCATGCTTGGGGGAGATGAGGGCTAGTCCGCCGTTACCTCCTTCTGCGACGTAGTTGTGTCGCAGAAGGACGAGGCCGAAAGGGTCCGAAGGGGCGAAGCTGCTCCCCCTGACGGGGTGGGGCACCGCCGCAGGAGGAGGGCGGCGCCTCACCTACCCGCGCATCAGCGCGGGATTGAAGGGCGGTGCACCCGTGGGCGGGGAGGGGACGTCACTGCTGGCGTCCCCTCCCCTGGGGTACCTGCAGGTGCGCTGCCCCCCCCCCCC